TTAAACATTCTATTAACCCTGTGGATCATAACATCTAAAAATGGAAATTTAAAGTCCACTTCTTTCTCTACTGTAAAGTTAATCGAGGGGACAAGAGAGTTAAGTCAAGGTAAAAATGTATGGAGGTCCACATAATTCGCTTATTCGCGATTCTTTATATATATATATATATATATATATATATATATATATATATATATATATATATATATATATATATATATATATATATATATATATATATAGTAACCACGAACGAGTGGTATTGATTCGAACCCATGATGTTCTGGCCCGCCTCATGGTGAACGAAAATCACCTGATGCTCTAACCCACAGGACAACCAAATCCTACAAGAACCAAGTACCCAGCCACGCTAGGTGTGTTACCCTTGGTCCGAATACATACGGTGGTGTGGGTGCCTCTGAACTAATTTCATTCTACTCCCTGTTTGGTGTACTAGCACAACAAGCAGTATTTTACATTATTGTAACCACGAACGAGTGGTATTGGCTAGTCGCAGTGTTGTTATTGATCAATACCACTCGTTTGTGGTTACAATAATATAAAATACTGCTTGTTGGGTTAGTACACCAGAGACTAGAATGAAATTAGCTCAGAGGCTATTTAAGCCAAAATCGCAAGTTTGACCTGGGAAGACTGGCACTAGGGAAGATCAGCAAACTCATTCATAAGATAAAATCTATATTCAACTTTAAGCATATATTTCAAAATATAACTAGAGATCTCGGTTATCGCTCCTTTCGTCTATAATACAAAGTGCAGCTTTCATAAAAGCATTTTTGTTATAGAAGACAGCAAGAGTAATAGACATGTATAAGGGATAATGTAGACTCTATATTTATTCACATACTTGACGCGCGAATAATAAACAGTTTAGCAACAAAACTCCAGTGTAAATTTCACATTTTTTCGATATATATAAATCGCTGAATAATGAATTGCTTGACTATCAAAGTTGTGTGCATCACCATCATTGCTGACACGAATGCTGACACTTCTTAGTAAATTTAACATGTAAATGTGTATTCAAACTCTGTAAACGTGACAGATGTAAATGCATTATATACAGTCCTTCCCGCGCTCATCAGTTGTGCGTAATATAAACACCTAGATGGTAAGGGGACACATGTAGACATATGTAGTGGGTTTGGGTTTGAAAAGGGCGTGCCTTGCATGGGCCAGTAGGCCTACTGTGGTGTTCCTCCATTCTTATGTTCTTATTAATTGACGATGTTTCTCCCACGCAATGGGAAATATCAATCTCACTGCGTAAGAGAAACGATGTCAATACGAGATGCTTTTAACTACAAGTTTCTCCTTACCATCGTGTCGATGCAATAACATACCCAAAGCCACTTAGAGAAGAACTGATCTTTATTAGGACAACGTTTCTCTCAAGGAGAGCTTTCTCAAGTCATGAAATGAAGGTCTCCTTGAGCTAAACGTTATTTTAAATAGGGCTTTCTCTTTTCTGCCTTTGTATTACCTTAATTTACCAGCACTCTTCATTCCAACTACCAGTCTTTTAGATATACGAAACAACAAGACGATTTCGGAAGCCTTTGAAGACACAGTTCGTTACTAAGTATACACGGGAGCAGAGCACATCAACAACCCACACACAGCTCGTACACCGACAGATACAGTATATCTCAATACAAATACCCTGTGAGTTTACTTTAATCCTTATGTTAAGGATTCAAGTTGTCGTGTTCGTAATGTACAGTGAAATTCCTGCAATAACGACCTACGCGCAGTTAACGGATTATAAACCCAACACACTCGATAATTAAGCTAACCAATCATCGTGAGGAAGATCAGGCAATTGTCTAAAGTTCGTAGGACTGAATAAAAGTTGAGAATCTCTTCAGAGAAATTTATTAAATAGGTGAAACGCAGATAAAAAAAGCACCTCATCCATATTCTCAAAGGCTTTAATGCAGGAGTCGGCAGTAACTGGTCTGTCTAGCTTTCAGTGGATGGAAAATTGAGTTTCCACCACCTTCTACAACGGGATCAGTGCTTTATATATATATATATATATATATATATATATATATATATATATATATATATATATATATATATATATATATATATAATATATATATATATAATATGTCGTGCCGAATAGGCAGAACTTGCGATCTTGGCTTAAATAGCAACGCTCATCTTGCCATATAGGACAAGCGAAAATTTGTGTATGCAATAATTTCGCCAAAATTATTCTGAACCTAACGAAAAAAATATATTTCACTGTGTTTGTTTAGTATTAAATTACTGTAAACAAATCTAAAATATATTTAGTTGGGTTAGGCTAAAATAAATTGTTCTTGTTATAATAAGGTTAGGTAAGTTTTCTAAGATTCTTTTAGAGCAAAATTAAAAATTTTTACATTAACATTAATGAAAAAAAATATATCTTTAAACGTATAAGAGAAATTTGTAGAAAGGACTTAATTTTAAATGAGTTCTTTCTAATTGACCAGTTTTACATATTCGGCACGACATATATATATATCTCGTGCCGAATAGGCAGAACTTGCGATCTTGGCTTAAATAGCAACGCTCATCTTGCCATATAGGACAAGTGAAAATTTGTGTATGCAATAATTTCGCCAAAATCACTCTGAACCTAACGAAAAAAATATATTTCACTGTGTTTGTTTAGTATTAAATTATTGTAAATAAATCTAAAATATATTTAGTTGGGTTAGGTTAAAATAAATTGTTCTTGTTATAATAAGGTTAGGTAAGTTTTCTAAGTTCCTTTTGGTGCAAAATTATAAATTTTTACATCAACATTAACGAAAAAAATATATCTATAAACGTATAAGAGAAAATTTTAGAAAGGACTTAATTTTAAATGAGTTCTTGCATAATGACCAGTTTTACATATTCGGCACGACATATATAATATATATATATATATATATATATATATATATATATATATATATATATATATATATATATATATATATATATATATATATATATATATATATAAAGCATCTTGCTATATAGCAAGATGAACGTTGCTATTTAAGCCAAGATCGCAAATTCTGCTTATTAGGCACGATATATATATATATATATATATATATATATATATATATATATATATATATATATATATATATATAGTATAATGTCATGCCGAATAGGCAGAACTTGTGATCTTGGCTTAAATAGCAACGCTCATGTTGCCATATAGGACAAGCGAAAATTTGTGTATGCAATAATTTCACCAAAATCATTCTGAACCTAACGAAAAAAATATATTTCACTGTGTTTGTTTAGTATTAAATTACTGTAAACAAATCTAAAATATATTTAGTTGGGTTTGATTAAAATAAATTGCTCTTGTTATAATAAGGTTAGGTAAGTTTTCTAAGATTCTTTTGGTGCAAAATTATAAATTTTTACATCAACATTAATGAAAAAAATATACATGTATCTTTAAACGTTCAAGAGAAAATTTTAGAAATGACTTAATTTTAGATGAGCTCTTGCTAATTGACCAGTTTAACATATATATATATATATATATATATATATATATATATATATATATATATATATATATATATATATATATATATATATATATATATATATATATATATAATGATCTGAAGCAATGTTAAATAAATTAAGACTGACCTGTGCTATACATAGCAGAATTTAGATAAAAAAAAATACGCTAGTTAAAGTTAGGTTAAGTGAGGTTCGTAAGTTAAGTTTGGTCCAAAAATTATACATTTTTATCATTATCATTGAAAATATATATTTATCAATCTCTAAAAACTTTTTGGCGAAAGCCCAGTGTTTAAAGGATTCCTACCTATGTAAGACTTCCGTTGTATTATTAGTTTTGTTCTAATCTACGAACTTTGGGACAAACTACGCAGTACTATCAACACCAAGCTTAACTACGTATAACTCTGGTGCTCAGTGAAAGAGGCATTTAGCCCGGAGGCGGTAGCAGTCAGCTGATGATTAGTTTTTCATCTCTCCTGCATGCACTGGCCCACGAGAAATATTAAAATGCTTATTATTCGCAGAACAAGCTCCAGAATTATGTGTATTCTGACTTGGTGGATAGATTCGAGCCATCGCAGACCTGAGTTATATGGTTGTAAATATTTAGCTAGTTCTGTGAATTACACAAGGCTATTTGACTGGCGCATAGAATGACGCTCAATGTGCAGGGAAACCTTTAACTCCTTCGTGGTTGAAATGTTGTATTTTAAAAGTTTCCTTCTTATTGCTTATTCTTGTTTACAGACATGCTTCTGATACATGCAACATTAGTAGTCGAATTGGTTTTTATGATATATTTAATATAGAGTAACATGTGCTACTATAATATCTTCCTATATCAACTTTTCGTTAAACATTATTAAGTGTAGGAATAAATGTGGAATTTAATCCATGTATATTATGCGAGTGAATAGTTACACCAACAACTACTGGAAGAAATTTTCTCACATCGTTTCTCTCGGATGGTGGATGTATGGAATATAAGAGAGAGAGAGAAAAAGAGAGAGAGAGAGAGACCTTATTAAATGGTGTGTTAAGTTGAAGATATTGGAAAGATGATGCTATATCATAATTTCAAATAATTACGAAAGCGACAGAGAAAATGTTTTACGTGGTCTTTTCCGATGTCAAGTGGATCTGCAGATCCCGAATCACTTAGCAATAAGCGACTTCGTGGGTTGCAGAAAACACACTGGATAGTTGAAGGGAGTTAACAAAGCTTTGACATTAAAATTTGCCTCATAGTACCAGTATAGGTTAAGGTACCATCTGATGAGGGAATCAAACTGACTTTTGAACGCACTTATCTAGAGGTATATCGTGATGTCTCTCCTGGTTTGCAAGGACTTTTACCTTTTTGCACCAAGTGATAGTGGATGCCTCCCTGTCTTGGGATGCCACTTACGCTGAGGTAGGTAATAGTGTCAGACGCCTTACAGGCTCGTGAGGACACTTATATTGAGGTACAAAACTGCGATAGAATACTCCTGGCATGTGAAAACACTTATTTTGTAAAAAAAAAAACATAGTAGTGAGAGACTTCTTCCTGGCTTGTGAAGACACTTACCTCGAGGTATATAATGAAGGTAGATGCCTCCCTGACTAGTGAAGATTCTTACCCCGTGTTACCAAGTGAAGATAAACGCTTCCCTGGCTTGCAAAGTCACTTACCTTGAGGTATCTAGTGGTGATTGTCTCATTTCTGTCATGGAAAGACACCTCGAACTACGTAGTGGTGGTAGAAACCTTCTTTGCTTGTTAAGACACCTCGAGATACATTATGTTAATGGTATACAAAATCGACAACCTGATAATTGAGACTCACATACAACACCTGGGTATCTGTAAAATTTATCTGTGTAGGAGAAAAAAAAACTTTGTTGTAGAGAAATTTCATCAACCATCTTGGAATCTTAGTAAAGAAAAATTATCTATATCTCTTACGCTTGCCTAACCTACTGGCATGATCTACTTTCACTACTGTGACGCCGCATCCAAACTGTTGCGCCTCATCTGTCATTAGTATATATGTCTCCATCCTCGGGCATCTATACTTTACATTAATCAAGACTAATAGACTGATCATCTCAGCCTTGATTGATCTGTTTTGGGTCGACGAGGAGACAATGTGAAACATCTCCACAGTAAAGATACACAGATGTTGCATGTATGACTTATTAAAGTACATAATGATCGTAGATGCCTCACTGGTTCAATGATTGTAGATGTCTCCTTGGCCAGTGAGGAGACTTACATCATGGTAGCAAGTGATGTTAGATGTCTCATTGATCTGGTAGGACACTTACCTCATGGTACCAAGTGATGGTAGATGCTTCTGGATTCGCAGAAACTATGCAGTCGAAATAGACATCGTCTCCCTCCTTCAGTAGCGACGGCTTCAAAGATCGACCCAGAGTGGCCTTCACTGTCGGTGGATCTATAAAGTAAAAAATGCACTCGTTACTCACGTTGAACACTTTAATAAATGACACATAGGTGTCCGAGTTAGCTATAAACCCCACAGAAAAGAAACCCAATATTCTATTTATATTCCTCAAAAGTAAATAAGAAACATTAATCCAAAACACTGATACTCTAATGCTCAACTAATGTAATATTTCGCAACATACACAGGAAAACAATCAGAAACAATATCGTTAGATGCGACTAATTCTGTTGCTTTGAGGTATGAAAACAACCAAGAAAATATTTCGCTGGGACACAAGAGATATGGAGGAACAAGAATATATGGTCATATAGATATAATGAGATGAAGGTTAAGACACATGTGCAACATCTGGTTATCTTTACTGCAGACGTTTCGCCATCCAGTGGCTTTATCAATACAGATTCTAGGACATTATTAGAAGACAATAGAACTATATACAAAAGATGAGGTAAACAGTCCCTCAGCCTTGGAGTTGGTGTTGAGAGCATCGTGGTGGTAGAGATTCTACCATTATATATATATATATATATATATATATATATATATATATATATATATATATATATATATATATATATATATATATATATATATATATATATGCAGAACAACCACTTTGAAAAAATAGTTAAATTCCGCGCGTTTCGTGACTTCTCACATGATCAAGGAACTATCATCATAATTCCTTGATAATGTGAAAAGTCACGAAAGCGCTTGGAATTTCATTAGTTTTTCACAGTGGTTGTTCTGCATATTGTGATATCACCTGCTTACTGTGATTTGATTGCATTTAAATATGTCGAGTCAAAGAGGTAAAACTTGTGATTTCGGCTTAAATATCTAGTTCTTCTTGCCTAATAAGGCAAGCGAAAAAGTGTGTATGCAATAATTCCGCAAAAATCATTCTGAACCTAACGAAAAAATATATTTCATTGTGTTTATTTATTATTATTAAATTATTGTAAACTTATTTAAATATATTTAGTTGGATTAGGCTAAATTAAACTGGGCTTGTTAAAATAAGGTTACATAAGTTTTCTAAGGTTCTTTTGGTACAAAATTATTAATATTTACATTAATATAAATGAAATATAAATATCTTTAAACGTATAAGAGAAAATTTAAAAAATTGATTAATTTTAAATGATTTCTTGCTAATTGACCAATTTTCCCTATTCGGCACGACATATATATAATATTATATATAATATATATAATAATTTATATATATATATATATATATATATATATATATATTTATTATTATTATTTATATATATAGATAGGAGTGAATGGAGACAAATGGTACTTGGACCTGACGATCTGTTGGAGTGTTGAGCAGGGTAATATTTAGTGAAGGGATTCAGGAAACCGGTTATTTTCATATAGTCGGACTTGAGTCCTGGAAATGGGAAGTACAATGCATGCACTTTAAAGGAGGGGTTTGGGATATTGGCAGTTTGGAGGGATATGTTGTGTATCTTTATATGTGTATGCTTCTAGACTGTTGTATTCTGAGCACCTCTGCAAAAAACAGTGATAATGTGCGAGTGTGGTGAAAGTGTTGAATGATGATGAAAGTATTTTTCTTTTGGGGATTTTCTTTCTTTTTTGGGTCACCCTGCCTCGGTGGAGACGGCCGACTTGTTGAAAAAAAAAAATATATATATATATATATATATATATATATATATATATATATATATATAATATATATATATATATAATAATTTATATATATATATATATATATATATATATATATATAATATATCTGGTAATCTTGGTTTCCTTATGGCACAACAACAGGTTCAATGCTTTGAGTCTTCTATATATGGTCGTTTCTTACTAATACTAATAGCTTAGTTATCATTTTCTGTACCTTTAACAATTTATATTCGTTTATATATTACTTAAAAAACCCTGACTTTATAGCATATTCAAAATATGTTCTAAACTGAACGTTTCGGAGAAGTATTTTTCCGACCATTTTTTTTTTCCAGGGAGAGCGATGAACTATAACAAGAATATTCTCTTTATTCCCAGTGCGATGAATCTCGACACATACAGAAACATAAATTTCCTTATCTTTTTTTATAACTTTAATCTCGTGTAGATTATTTTAATGAGAGAGAGAGAGACAGACAGACAGACAGACAGACAGACAGACAGACAAACGCGCGCGCACGCACGCACACATACACACACACACACACACACACACACCACACACACACACACACACACACACACACACACACACACACACACACACACACACACACACTGTAAAGAGACTTTCGATACAGTACCGCACAAGACAATGGCTGAAAAGCTAGAAAAGATGCAAGTGTAGAGCGGGGTTCTACAAGGGTCAGTCCTAGGTCCGATGCTGTTTCTAATAAATATGAATGATATGACAGAAGGGAAAGATTCAGAGGTGTCCCTGTTCGCACACGATGTGAGGAGAAATTAAGTGGACGAGGGTCAGGTAAACCTATAACGTGATCTGGACAGGCTGTAAGCCTGGTCCAATAAATGGCTCCTGGACTTAAACCTAAGCAAGTGAAAAATTATGAAGTTTGGGGAAAGACAAAGAAGACCGCAGAGGGAGTATTTCAAGGGCTGCAAAACTCAAAGAAAAGGATTTTATGGTGAGCATCTCACCAAGCACATCTCCTAAGGCGCACATTAACCAAATAATTGCAGCAGCATATGGGCGCCTGGCAAACCTAAGAATAGCTTTTCGACATTTAATTTTTAAGAGATTGTACACTGTGTATGTCAGGCCAATACTGGAGTATGCAGCACCAGCATAGAACTTACAATTGGTCAAACACGTCAAGAAATCAGAGAAAGTGCAAAGGTTTGCAACAAGACCAGGCCTGGAGCTAAGGGGCATACCATACGAGGAGAGGTTAAGGTAAATCAGCCTGATGACACTGGAGGACAGGAGGGATATTGGGGACATGATAACGGCATACAAAATATTGAGAGGAATTGACAAGGTGAATAGGGGCAGAGAATATTTCAGAGATGGGACACAGCAAGAAGGGGTCACAGCTGGAAGTAGAAAACTCAGATATGTCACAGGGATGTTAGAAAGTATTTCTTCAATCATAGAGGTGTTAAGTGGAACAATCTGAAGAGTAATGTAGTGGAGACAGGAGCCATACATAACTTTAAGAAGAGATACGAACAGGTCACTGAGCAGGATGAGATTGGGCCTAGTAGCGGTTAGCGGAGAGGCGGGCCAGGAGCTGTGAATCGACCCTTGCACCCACAAGTAGGTACGTATAAGTAGGTGAGTACACACACACACAGACTAAGAGACATAGACTCACAATGCACGATGAGTGTAGTAGAGTTGGACAGCGGGGATTTCGGTCTAGTGGGATTCTTGGCCTGGCACACCACCTTGGCTCCATGATGTTCTCTGGTGGTGTTGATCACTAGCGTCGAGGTGCTGACTGAACTGCTGCCTGGGTTATACTCTGGACCCTGCAAGGCAAAGACGTAAATCTAAAAGCTTAAGGGAATAAATAATTTCTAAGAGGAGAGTGCCTCCATGTTAAAGAGTTAGTGATCTAATTAACTAGAACTACGGTTCGATCCCCTGGATAAAACCTGTATATCATACCTCCCATTAACCAGGCTGCATATGACTCCATCAGGTTTAAAGCTTTCACTGGGAGTAAAAAATCGCATCTAGACTAAGATAAATATAACACACTTCAAGACTTTATTTTACATGAACATATTTTTAAATTATCTTGCAGATGTACCTTTAAGAACAAACGAGCGTTTCTGGGTCGACAAGCCACTAGAGCGAGGAAATACAACCCAAGTTACAATGAACAAATGGAGACACAAATATTGTGGTAGACGTTATATTAGCCATTCAGTGGCTGGTATACAAAGTCACTGCTTCATCATGACACTGACTTTACACAAATAACCCGCACATAAAAGAGAGAAGCTTACGACGACGTTTCGGTCCGACTTGGACCATTGACAAAGTCACATTGTCAATGGTCAATGGTCCAAGTCGGACCGAAACGTCGTCGTAAGCTTCTCTCTTTTATGTGCGGGTTATTTGTGTATCGTTCCAGTCACGGTATTGTGCCTTTTTGTTATTTATTGACACTGACTTGATGAAGTCAGTGACTGATAAGAACAAAAAGGCACAATACCGTGACTGGAACGATACACAATAACCCTTTTTGTTATTTATTGACACTGACTTGATGAAGTCAGTGACTGATAAGAACAAAAAGGCACAATACCATGACCGAAACAATTCATAAATTGTAGATGAATGGTTCAGAGAACCGGCACGTTGATAAATTAGACACATGTGCAACTCTTGGGTATCTTATTGAGGAATGCTGTATTCTATTCAAGATTGATGGACTGACCACATCGACTCCAGGTTGAGGGACTGATTACCTCATTCTCCTCCTGTTCTTCATGATTCTCCTTTATATGGATCGATGAAGCCATTGTGTGGCGAAACGTTTCCTCAATAAAGATACCCAAGAGTTACACATGTGTCTAATTTATCAATTCATAAATTACCCGCATGTAGGACAAAGAAACTTGACGAGGTTTCGACCCGACCTGGACCATTAACTAGCCACACACTAACACACGAGGGTATGTGAGCCAGTATATATACGAGAGGATGGCCCTTTTCTTATATATTTACTGGTTCAATTACCTGCGTGTTAGTGGATAGTTGCCATTGGCTGTTGTATGAGAGGACAGTTACTATTTGCTTCTGTATTAGAGGGTGTGTGACTAGTTAATGGTCAAAGTCTGACAAAAACGTCGTCTAACGTTTCTTTCTCCTCTGTGTGAGATCTTTGTCTCTCTGCGTCTCTCAGGTTTCTCATTAATAAATGGGCTTATCTATATGTTGACTTAAATAACTTACGTAAACAGAACACCAAATTAAGTGGAGGTTTTGGTTAAGTTTTACGTTTTTGTTATATCTGTTTCTCAACCTGATTCCAGCATAAAAAGTCACAGACAATATTTGAGGTTGGTTACCTCTCCCACTCCATCAGTTACTTCTCCCAGGCGATTCAAACAAGAGAGTTAAGGTAACACCTCAATGGGCCTCATCAGGATTCAATACTAGGTTCGGCATACAGAAAATGGAAAGACTTAGGCTCAGTTTCCACTAATATACACGAGCTGTTCCAGCTAATAAAAACAAATGTCATACGTGGATAAATGCCTTTAACTCTCTCTCTCTCTCTCTCTCTCTCTCTCTCTATATATTTTTTATATATATATATATATATATATATATATATATATATATATATATATATTTTATATATATACACTGATCTCTGGCTGAAGGAGATCGAACCTACGAACCTTGGAACAAGGTACGCAGTGCTATACCAAACTACCACACTGGACCAACACCTTGGAGTCCAGCTTGCGCTAGACTTTGATCTAAGGCAGCCAGCTTTCAGGGAGAAGGCTTACAGCTTTTCAACTCATCCCTTGCATGCATCAGCCTAGATGAAAAGCTGTAAGCCTTCTCCCTGAAAGCTGGCTGCCTTGGATCAAAGTCTAGCGCAAGCTGGACTCCAAGGTATTGGTCCAGTGTGGTGAGTTTGGTAAAGCACTGCGTACCTTGTTCCAAGGTTCGTAGGTTCGAGTCTCCTTCAGCCAGAGATCAGTGTTTGTGTATATTTCGCCTGCTCTTGCGAATTCCTTGCATATATATATATATATATATATATATATATATATATATATATATATATATATATATATATATATATATATATATATATATATATATATATATATATGTCGTGCCGAATATGTAAAACTGGTCAATTAGCAAGAACTCATTTAAAATTAAGTCCTTTCTAAAATTTTCTCTTGTACGTTTAAAGATATATTTTTTTCATTAGAGATGATGTAAAAATTTATAATTTTGCACCATAAGAATCTTACAAAACTTACCTAACCTTATTATAACAAGCGTAATTTATTTTAGCCTTATCCAACTAAATATATTTTAGATACGTTTACAATAATTTAATACTAAACAAACACAACGAAATATATTTTTTTCGTTAGGTTCAAATGATTTTGGCGAAATTATTGCATACACAAATTTTCACTTGTCTTATATGGCAAGATGAGCGTTGCTATTTAAGCCAAGATCGCAAGTTCTGCCTATTCGGCACGACATATATATATATATATATATATATATATATATATATATATTATAATAATATATATATATATATATATATATATATATATATATGTATGGATGGGGTATGAGTGAGGGAGATAAATAAATGAATCTAAGAAAATAAGAAAAAGCAAAAGGAATAAACAGAGTGCAATAAATCTCTCAACATAAAATATAAAAAACGTGACTTGGATACAACACTAAACGCTTCCTGTCAAACGAATGACGTCAATAAAGAATCAGGATTAAGTATAAAAACCTTCCATTTAACCGTACGATTCCCTTTGATGTACCGACACCACTTCTATTGATTGAGGTTCACCAGCCATCACTGGTATATCTACACTCACCCTCCCTGGTATATCTACACTCACCCTCCCTGGTATATCTACACTCACCCTCCCTGGTATATCTACACTCACCCTCCCTGGTATATCTACACTCACCCTCCCTGGTATATCTACACTCACCCTTCCTGGTATATCTACACTCACCCTCCCTGGTATATGTACACTCACCCTCCCTGGTATATATACACTCACCCTCCCTGGTATATCTACACTCACCCTCCCTGGTATATCTACACTCACCCTCCCTGGTATATCTACACTCACCCTCCCTGGTATATCTACACTCACCCTCCCTGGTATATCTACACTCACCCTCCCTGGTATATCTACACTCACCCTCCCTGGTATATGTACACTCACCCTCCCTGGTATATATACACTCACCCTCCCTGGTATATCTACACTCACCCTCCCTGGTATATCTACACTCACCCTCCCTGGTATATCTACACTCACCCTCCCTGGTATATCTACACTCACCCTCCCTGGTATATCTACACTCACCCTCCCTGGTATATCTACACTCACCCTCCTGGTATATGTACACTCACCCTCCTGGTATATATTACACTCACCCTCCCTGGTATATCTACACTCACCCCCCTGGTATATCTACACTCACCCTCCCTGGTATATCTATCACTCACCCTCCCTGGTATATCTACACTCACCCTCCCTGGTATATCTACACTCACCCTCCCTGGTATATCTACACTCACCCTCCCTGGTATATGTACACTCACCCTCCCTGGTATATGTACACTCACCCTCCCTGGTATATCTATACTCACCCTCCCTGGTATATCTACACTCACCCTCCCTGGTATATGTACACTCACCCTCCCTGGTATATGTACACTCACCCTCCCTGGTATATTACACTCACCCTCCCTGGTATATCTACACTCACCCTCCCTGGTATATGTACACTCACCCTCCCTAGTATATCTACACTCACCCTCCCTGGTATTTTCTACACTCACCCTCCCTGGTATATGTACACTCACCCTCCCTGGTATATCTATACTCACCCTCCCTGGTATATCTACACTCACCCTCCCTGGTATATCTATACTCACCCTCCCTGGTATATGTACACTCACCCTCCCTGGTATATCTACACTCACCCTCCCTGGTATATCTACACTCACCCTCCCTGGTATATGTACACTCACCCTCCCTGGTATATGTACACTCACCCTCCCTGGTATATGTACACTCACCCTCCCTGGTATATCTACAATCACCCTCCCTGGTATATCTATACTCACCCTCCTGGTATATCTACACTCACCCTCCTGGTATATCTACACTCACCCTCCCTGGTATATCTACACTCGCCCTCCCTGTATATCTACACTCACCATCCCTGGTATATCTACACTCACCCTCCCTGGTATATGTACACTCATCCTCCCTGGTATATGTACACTCACCCTCCCTGGTATATCTACACTCACCCTCCCTGGTATGTCTACACTCACCCTCCTGGTATATCTACACTCACCCTCCCTGGTATATCTACACTCACCCTCCCTGGTATATGTACACTCATCCTCCCTGGTATATGTACATTCACCCTCCCTGGTATATCTACACTCACCCTCCCTGGTATATCTACACTCACCCTCCCTGGTATATCTACACTCACCCTCCCTGGTATATCTACACTCACCCTCCCTGGTATTATCTACACTCACCCTCCCTGGTATATCTACACTCACCCTCCCTGGTATATCTACACTCACCCTCCCTGGAATATCTACACTCACCCTCCCTGGTATATCTACACTCACCCTCCCTGGTATATCTACACTCACCCTCCCTGGTATATGTACACTCATCCTCCCTGGTATATGTACACTCACCCTCCCTGGTATATCTAGACTCACCCTAGTATATCTACACTCACCCTCCCT